AATTGTCAATCCTGAGAATTCAGTGCTGACCCAATTTGTCATTCAAGGCGCTTAAATACACATCAGTTACTGCTGCCTTCTCTCTGCCTCCTCCAGCTCAAGTTATTCCTTAATATCCAAGTGATTGATTAGTACAGCAATAAACTGGGGTACAGACATAAAGCAACTCGAATAAAAGCTGTGTGCTGTTCTTTAAAGAAACTCCTTTCTCTTTGGATGAGGTTGCAAAAATAAAAAATTGTAGGGCTTCTACAGAGTTACCAAGACTGCTAACGTAACCAGGAGCGTTACTGTTATCAGTATTATAAATCTCTTGAACATAAATGGCATCAGAGCCCATAATCTGTTTCTCCTCTTTTAATATGACTCACAAATTCCCATGTGCAACAAAAGCTTGTTCTTCCCAGCAGTAGCTTCCTGCCTGTCTCCTAACAGGAATCTTCCTCTCCCTATTCCTCTCTGGGTTTGTTTGTTTGTTTGTTTTGTGATATGTAGTGTGAAACTTCCAAAGTACTTCTGAGCCAAGCTATTGGATGAGATATAGATAATTGAGTTCTCTTTTGTGTTCTAATAAAAAAAATCAGCTTTTCCATACTGACAAGAGATGCAAATTTCTCCTTAGCACATGGTAGGGTGCCTTGTGCTGTTTCCTTTGTCATTTCAGGTAGGTTTGGGAACTGGCTAGCAGCAAGTAAAGATTGTGAAATAGTTGGGGTTTTTTTGACAGCTCTAAATAAATAGGAAAGATCACAAATAAGTCTATCCCCTACATAGCTTAGAGAAATTGTTGCAATTTTAAGTTCAGCTTTGTAAAGTAAATGCAGTAATCATATGACAAAGTCGGTATAAACCTGGGATAAATATTTTTTGGGTTTAAGAATAGGTTTCCTTACTTGCACAAGGAATATCCAGCTACATCATTTGGCAAAAACGCAGGGCTCTTCTGCATGTGCTCCTGTAATTCAAGCTTTAAGGAGAGGGAAAAAAAAAAAGCTGACAAATGTTAAGTGTTCCTTTTAAGTGGAATGACTGTGTTTTGGGTATAAGGTGAGTTCATCAAGATGCCAGGAAAATACTGCCGTTTCCCTTTTTCTAGATTGCCTTTTCTCTGCTCCCTCTTACATTTTTAACTGCTTTATTTTTTGCCAGAGGGCTTTGTGTCTTGTGCCAGTTTGCTCTGTTCTCTGCTTTCTCTGTCCCTTGCGAAAAAGAATGCTGTATCACACCCTAAGGTGTGGGCTTACCCCCTTGTTCCATAGGGCTGAAACAGACTTCTTTCCTTTTGCAGTTGCTTTGGATGTGAAGGAACTTGCCTGGGCGTGCGAGTTATCTCTCATGGAATTGCTCAGTGAATGAAGTTACATTCTTTAAAATGCACAGCATGTCATAGTGGAACTGCAGTAGAGTGTAAAAGCAAACTCCAAGTCTCAGATTTTAATGTTTTATTTTTCCCCCCCCGTTTGATAAGATTGTGAGATATTTTGTTCTGCTTCCTGATCAAACTCTGGAGTTTGAAGTGATGGCTTAGTTTTTCTGTTTCATCTTCAGTATTGTTGAATTTGTTCTGGGAAGATGTTAGAGCTCTTCTGAGTTCTAGTTGGTGTGGTGTGATACTTTTCTGAGCACCAAAGTACGTCTATTGGGATTAAACTTTAAATACTACATTGATGTAAGCTGGCTAAAGGGTTGATCGCATTGTATGCAGGGTGTTCTGTCTCAGGGTGATATCTGTCCTGAGGTCCTGTCGTTGAAGGGAACAAGGAATCTGACACAATTAAATCTGACTTAGAGAATGGTTCTCTAAATGAGCCCTAAGTTGGTCTTCTTCATGCAGTCTCCCCACGTACAGCGTGGCTCTTTGTGCGTTTTGTGGCTTTTGTCAATGAACTGTGCTGGTCTTGGAGACCAGAGTTTTTGCTGGCATAACAGAGATGAAGTATCCTCAGTGAATGTCACCAGTGTTTTTCATCATGTAATTATCACAAGAAATTTTCCGGCAAAGCTGAGTCTTTCATTTACCTTCCTATGGAATCCGTCCACTGACTCTTGCTTTGAGATGCCAATTTCCTGTTGTATTATTTTTAAGGATGAGTTGTATGCTTTTCTGTTGGCTGCCTTGGACTTATAGGGAAATACAGCTTGCTATTTTGGGGCTGGGTTTGGCTTTTTCTTTAGAGGAAAAAAAAAATTCAGAACAAAACTCAAATACAAAACCAAAATCAAACCAGGTATTCTGAAGCGTTGTTAGTGGTGAATTTCTGAGGACGTGGAGAAGCTCTAAAGTGTGTAATGGAGTGGAGAATGAGCATCTTTTGCAGAAAAAGCATTTTATGATCAGGTGACTCACAGTAGTTTCACTTTCAGATCAGGAGAGAATAAAGGATATGAATTTGACATGATTCGGCATCAAAATATTCAGTGAGCCACGTCCTCATGTAACGTATTGTGGCTTGATTGCTTTCACTGAAATGATGCCAGTACGTACCAGCAGAAAGATCTGTTCCTGTGAAGTCTTCCTCACTCTCATGGATGTTTTTTGGTATATAGTGAGTCACAGTGATTGAACTTCCTACAAAGGAAGGACCTCTGAAATAACCCCTGAGGGAAAGAGGTGAAGGAGCCTGACAATGTAACCACCAAACAGTCCAAATTTCTGAACAGGAAGTGGATAGGTCTTGTCTCAGTGTTGAAACAGTTTCACGTGCCCTGCTGTGGCTTCCTTGATTAGTCTCAAGTTTAGACGTGTGATGCAGATGTACCAGGATGGACACTTCGTTCCTGGTGGATACAGAATAGTAGTTAGGAGGAAAATGTGCCCAAGTTGCCGAAGCAGATACTTGCTGTGAGGAAGTGTCTGTCACCTTCACCTAGAAGTACTTGCTGTGTATGCAGTGGAGTAACTTCAGAAATGCAGGTGAGTGCTCTTTGGGCTTTTTTCCGTGGATACTTGGTATGACCCCTGCTGATTTAACTCTTGAGTTACCTTCTGATTTCTGGTTTTGCTTTTATCCTAAAGTTCAAAAGACTGAAGTTAGGACTTTTCTAACTCACCGTAGATCCAAGGGCGAGTGGAATGAAAGGAAGCATACAGAATATTTGTCTACATTTATTCATCCTGTTTTAGCTATTCAACTTCTTCCCTGTAGTGAATGTACCTTTCTTGCTTGTTTTGTTAAGCTCAGGAAATTCTGAAGGTACTTATTGAGTGGGATGGATCAGTTAGGCAAGGAAGATCTTGTACTCAGCTTTTGTTTTGGAAGGTAACAGGAGAAACTGTAGGAGTGGACAGGGCAGGATTGTGCGTTAAGAGCTTTCCCTGTCTGTGCTCTGTCTCAGTGTATTCTCTGTCTTCAGCAAAAATGTGCATAGGTGCAAAGCATAAGCAAGGTGTGGGAATAGCAGCCACAAATGTAACAGTGTGAAGTTTTAGTCTTAAACTTTGCTTACTATCAGAGAACAGCTGCTGTACTGTTACAACATTTGTGTGCTTTAATGACATCAGTGCTAGATAAGATGGTGCCATTAAAGGAGTATGATAACTTATTAGCTTTGGGATATTTGATGTTCCTATAGAAGCCATTAACAAAAAATACTTCTCCTGAATTTTATCTCCATAAGGGCCTGTGGTTATAGGATCATTAACTCCTATGATGTGTCATATGCCATTTCTACTTCAAGTAATAAATTAATTTCAGATCCTGGAATAATTCAGCCCTGAGAAGCCCTCAGGGGGTAGGACAGGCTTCTGCTTAAAGCAGGACCAACACTACATGAGTGCTGGTGTTTTGGTTTCCAGCTGTGATTGTAGCTAACATTCTTTACCAAACAAATTTCACCTGCTGATATGCCCCAAATTATTTCAGAATCACAGGGTGCTCTTCAAGATACTGTCCATTAAAACGTGGAAATAAGTGGTTTTAGCGATGATGGATTTTCACAGTGTTAGCATTGCTAATCATTATTGTTCTGTATATGTAGTTATGCATTTGGCTCAGTGTATGGATCTCACTTCACTGACTGCCACATTACCTCTGGAAGAGGAGTTTCTGACAAGAGAATGGACAAGGTGGGGCGTGGTGCAAAGATGAACATAGAGAGGAAATGACTTCCCAATGATGCTGAATGAGGGACCAAAGAGAAAAGGAGAGGCACTTCAATCTGGCAGGGTCATCTGTGACCATCTTTTCCTACATAGCTCCCCCTCCACCAATTTCTACACACTCTAAGTTAATAATGATGCCTCATTGCCCTGTCTCTTCTAAAATAACGTCAAACTGGATCTGTGCTTTCACAACAAAACATGTTTGGGCAATGTTTCAGAGCTCAGCTTGTAATTATGCTCTGAAGAAGACACCCATAGATTCATAGTTAACAGCATAAGGAAGGATCCCAGGTTTCTGCCTTGTGTGATTGCTGTTTTTGGAGAGAGCCCTTGACCTCCTTTCTCAGAGGAAGTTACCTGCCAGAAAATTTTGAAAATGTGAGTCTTTTGTAACCAGTGAGCAAGAGAGAGGTGGGAAGAGGAAGGACAATGCCAGGCAACGTCTGAAGAGGTACAAGTATGTAGGCATTTGACAGTGTGTAAGAGAAGAGAGCTGTACAGGGCAAAAACCCGAACTGAGTGAATATCCAGCAATCAAATCCCCAGCTGCTCTTTGGGGATTTCATTGATACGTTAAATAATTCTGAAAAATGTCTTACTATGTGTGTATAAATTGTGTGTACTTATACTTACGTAAATATATATATATGCATAATGAAACCCAGAGTAGTTTGATTTCTGGAGAAGCTACTGCAACAGCATAATTTTCTATGATTATAGAAAATACCAGGGTGAGGGAAAGAGGTGTCAGCACCTTCTCTTGTGCAAGAAGCTATCTGGTGATAAACAGCTGCTGAAGTTGGTCCATTATATGTAATCCAACTACGTTGCTGCAATAAATCTTGTATAATGAACAGTTATAGCAAATTCCATTATTAAAAAATCTTGTCTTCTCCAGGTTTGTGGCATGCTAGAGATCCTGGAAAGATTGACTGCTGAACTCGTGTCATGCTGGGAAGGACCATCACATCCATTCTACCAGGGCTGAGCTCAGTTGTCATTCTCTGTCTGCACTGACACTGTATTTTTTACTCTTCAACATGTGGAATACGTGTCTGCAGAGTTAAACCAGGACAATCTCCTGAAAATGGAATTCCACAGAAGGCACATGCTGTAATTTCTTGAATAAGCCAACAACATCCTCTAAATTTTTTTTTTTTTTTTTTTGCTGATTTTTATTACTCAACTGAAAGAGCAAGCAGTGTTGCTAGATTGCTCTGAAAGCTAGAGATGGCTCTGCCTTCTCCAAAATCTGTGGCAGGAGATCTAACACAAAGAGAAGAACTCATGCTCCATAATGAAAGCTGTTTCCATTTCCTCTCTACAAACGTCATCACAGTAGGTAAGTGAAAGTTTGTCTCACCTAATAGTTTGGTATTTGAAAATGTTTGCTTTACTCCCAATTTCTTGTATGGTATTGAGATTTCACATTGAAATGCTAAGTTTCTGTAATTTGTTTGAGGGAATTGTGCTTGTAAATTAGGGGGCTGAATTTCAAATTTTGTTGTATAGTTTGCATGATGAAAACTTAACTGAAGTGTAGAAAAACGAGATGCCAGTACTCTGGCCTGTGTTTGACCTGTTCCTGTAATGTCCAGGAGTTGGTGGTGTGCACAAGGCTAGAAGTACCTGCTGCACTGCGAGTTATGCTATGAAACCTTTCACTGCATGATAACAAACAGGTTGACTGTTATCAGCATTCTCCAAGATATGCTAGCAGGCTTGTATCTTCATGTAAATGGTGACATTTGTACTTGAATAGATGATCAGAGTGTTTTTGAGACGTCAGTTTTCCCACCTATTCAAGTGCTTCCATTCCAGAGTTAACATAAAATATAAATAATGCCTCCACCTACTGTGCTGATTAGAATCTTAAGGCATTGTCTTCTGTGGCTGCAAATAATAATAATGTAGCAATAAGCTGGGATGTGGCAAAATTCACGGGTAGATTTGAAGGAGAGTTGTCCTCTTATTTACCAGATCTTCAAAGAATGTGGGCTTGTGTCAGTAACAAAGTGCCTCTGAATCACTGTCAGACTTGTGACTTCAGTGGGATGGGCATTTTATAGAAATGTGCATGTGATTCCTTTGGAACTTCAGCTGATCCCTTATGGTAGGGATTGTTTGAAATGCTGGTTTGCTGAATACATGAAGGTTAATGTTTTCAAAGATCAGTAATCATCTTTGGATGTATGTGCTCATCTGCTTTTGAAAAGACAGATGATGGGGCTTTACCAGAGTATTGTGATGTTGGTGCCTTTACAGACTGTAGGGGAAAGGAACTTACAAGAGCTTGAGAACATAGCTTGTGCAGCTTTGCTAGAGCAAATACGTGTATCTGAGTGCTGTGTTTCTTTTAAAGGGCAGTTAGATATGCTGAAGCTTTTTTTTTTTTGGGGGGGGGGGGGATATTTCTCTTATCAAAGTAATTTTTCTTGAAGATGATGGCAGCACTGTAACTGCATTTAGAGCACATCAGTATTTTTTTCTGTGTGTGACACCAGTAGAGTTGATTATCAGCGATTTTTTTGGCTTTCAACCAGACTCCTTTATTCAGCAGCACCAGGTGCTCCTAAATATCTTACTCTTCAATTTTTAACAGATGAATTCCAAGGGGATCTCTGAATTGTGGGAAAACAAGGAGGAATTGTGGTAGAATGTAGTTATGAAGGCTGTAGGAAGAACAAGGAGAACCCAAGCTCTTTCTCACAGCAAAACATTTTGGGCTAGATATTTTTAAAAAGTGAATTAGCATCATAGGACTGGACTGTCAGAATTGATTGCAGCTTTTGTTCCTTGATTCAAGTGCTTCTGGAAAATCCTTCTTGAAGTTGATTTGGGGAGGAGGGATTTATACTGCCTCAGGTTGTGGCTCTGTGCCATGAATCTGTCTGAACCAATCTAAGATGCAGAGCTCAAAGAACAACTATTGTTGGTTGTTGGTCTTTTTTGAAAAAGTGTTGACAGTTTGCTCAGAGGAGAATGAGTTCTTATCTTAGGAAGCTCTGGAGATTACAGATGTGATTCTGCATATCAGGTGTTGATTGGAGATTGAGTAGGAGGAAGGGAATTGTGTAACTGATGTCTGTGGCAGATGAATTTGTGCTACAGGATGGATCTGAAGAGGGAGAAAGAGGGTTTGGTTGCATTGAAAACAAGACAGTTGATTTAGCCCAAGACTCTAATTAGAAGTTAATGTATTCAACACAGGACTTATTTTCTTGAAATATTTCCTTCTACTGCCAACAGTCATGAAGCAGATAACACTTTTTTTTTAGCTGGGTGCTCACAGGAACTATTTTCATAATTCTGGCCAAATTTCTAGCAATTGCAAGATTGATTTCTGCTGGCTTGCTGTTCAAAGTGATATCTATAGCTTTTGCTAGCATTAATGGAGTTGAATATATTTGTATTGCTGCTGTATTAAAAAGAAATTTAGTGCCTCTTGAACGAGAGCTGTCCTTTATATAATTCTGTACGTAAAGCTCTGTCAGAGTGTGTATGTAGGACAAAGTGCACAGAGATGGCAGAAATAGCTGGAGGGAGAGAAAGTCTTTATTGTGCCTGTGCAGCCCTTCCAGCATTCCTGTGCAAGTGGGTCTGAACCCAAACAAAAGCTGGGCTCCTGCTCAGGAATCCCATAGCAGACTTGTTCAGAACACCCACTTGAGTTTGTTCTTATCTCTCCAATTAACCCTTTGTATGACTCAGTTTAAATGCCATATATTGCAGTGACAACTTTTATCTTATTTCACCTTAGTGTAACAATAAATTCTAAAGAAACAGTGCAGAAGTGATATTACTACTTTTCAGCTGTTAGTTGTCTTGATTGAGTAGCCTGTGCTCTCAAAAATGACATTTCAGCTTTATCAAGCTTATGCTTTCAAATGTTGGCACTTTCAGCTTTCTAATTTGAGTGAGAGTATCCCCAAGAAAATTTGGGAAGCACAGGGCTGGAGAGTTACATCCCTACTTGGTATGAATCTATGCAGTTAAGTAAAGGCTCCTCATTTGACAACTTGATCCCATAGCATCACAGCTACCTGCAGTCTACTTCTGAACAATACTTACCTCAGGTAGCCTGAAACTCCTGACATTCATCTGTGGTTTTCTGACTTTTCTTATCGGTTGATACAAGAAGTTTTCAAAACTTGTTATTTCTTTTAGAATCAGAATTCTCCTTCCCTGTGTAGGTGTGTATAGATGAGGAATAAGATTGCTGTGTAAAAAGTAAATCTGAGTGGAATGCATTTAACTTGCATGTAATTTTGCTTTATAATAGCGATTCAAGATTGTAGCGGCATTGGGAAATTCCAAAATCAAGGAGATACATGGAAAATTCAGTAATCCCCTATTTTTAAAATAAGTTCTTGCATGTCTAGACTCAATTTCTCCTTCTAAACTGATGAAAGAGTGCTGTGCACAGACACGCAAAATCCTGTTTGCTCAGTATACAGTACATCAGATTAGCCTGGAGATGTACTTAAGATGGCCTTCAACGTGTGGCTCTAACATGCAGCTCTAACGTGCTTCTGCCCCAGAAACCTCTAGCATATCAATTTAGTTGAGCAGACAAAAGTGAGATTATATTAATTGGCGTCAGCTGCTTGAGAGTAGCTCTGATTAAAGATATATTGCTGTGATATTGCCCGTCAGTTGAAAATGAAATAGGAACTGATGCTTTCGTTCAACTAGTTTTGCTTGTGTTAGTGACCACAAATTTTTTTCCTTTTCTGTTGATGCAGCTTGAATATAACATCTGGAAAGACATGCTGTTCATTTCAAGTGATCCAATTTAAATGTGGCAGTCTCCTCCTTGATTTGGTACAACTGTGGATACTAGAAAATTCTAACACCAAGAATTAGTGTTTTCTCAAATAATGATTTTCAATACTCTTTTTTCCTTCTTGAATGGAGACTGTAGTGTAATGCTTACTGCAAGCTGCCATTTACTCTGCTTTGTGCTGCAGAGGCACAAATGAACAAGTGAGGCTTGCAGAATTCACTATTGTCTCCTTTGGTGCAGTGTCAGCTGACTGATTTGAAGTGATCATGAGTCTATTGACAGTTGGAACAAAGACATGAGTGAGGATATCTAAGGGTAGTTCTGATTCTGTCACTAACTTATTGTTTGACTGTTTTTGGCAACTTCACTTCCTCCTCTGTCATGCAACTTATTTTGATTGTAAATGGGATCTGCTACTCCTGCACAACAAAACAGGCGGGTTGCTTTCTGCAGTTATCCCTGTGCGAGTTGAATCCTTGCTCATCATCCTGGACGTGCTCTGAGGTCTCGTACTGACGGCACTAACTTCTGTTCCTCAGGCATTTGGCATTTCAGAAGGTCATATTTGACTGTCCTTTAACGCTAGAGGGCAGCGGTGGTCTTCCTTTTATCCATCCATCCACTACTGCAGCTGATGCAGGACAGTTTTGCTAATCATGCATGACAGAAGGTACCAGGAAGACTTTTGGCTCAGCATGAAGTCTTTGCATTTCATTTCGATTACTAAATATTGTTGCTTCATCTTTCAGCAGGTGCATTTCATATACTCCTTTCTGTTATCTTTGAGAAATCAATATTTATTTCCATAAGAATATTAGCTTCGATCAAATGAGCTTTTTAAGCCTTAGAATCCTAAACAGTTATTGATTGGATCATTGGTGAATCTATCAAGCTTTCTCGATTAATTTCTTTCCTGCTCTTCTTTGACTGGAGTTTTTGCTTGCCTGCTTTACTAGAGTATTGCAGTGTAGTGCTCAGAATCTGTGCCAAGATGGAGAAAGGTGGTTCGTCTCCTATCTTCTGTTTAGGCACAGACATTCCCACTGAAATTTGTTGGCAGCAGGAGTCTAAATACTGTTGAATTTGACACCTGCAATGGAGCTTGCTTCAGTTTGCTGTCTCCAATTCAGACATCCTTTGACCTGGTAACAGCCTTACTTTGTGAGCTTTGTGCAGGTAAGTGAAACCAGAAGAAATAGCAACAGGAGCCATAAAGGTACATAAAGCAGAGGTCTGGTTTCTTGCTTGCTCTCCGTTGTCAGTAGGAATATTGCGGCTTGGCCTTGCCTTTCTGTGCTGGGCATTGCTGAAGTCATTCAGCTGTAGTAAAAGGGGGAGAGCTACTTTTGCACTAGGAGAGCAACTAAATGCCTCTTTACCCTAGGCTTAGAATGTGAACCTGAACAATTTGCTAGCAGAGTACAATGTTGTCTAATCCAAGCTAGTACTGAAATGTTAATAGATGTCACTTGTTGAAGAAGTGGAATTGTTTGTTGAGGCAAAGCCATGAGCATGTTAAATGTTTATGTAAATGTTAGCGCTCAGAAAGGGCTTTA